TTTTGGAAGAGAATTGGACTTAGGTTTTTAGAGAAAATGAAAGGCTATATATAAGGGTGTGGTCGGCCCTATTAGGAGAATTGGCACCGGCCACGTATGGTTGATTTGTGGGATTGATTGCAAGATATTATGTGAAATAATATCTTGCAATTAATTTGGTAATTAATCTCAATTTGAAAAGAATAATTGGGAATTACCTTGTGGGTGAGGATTTGATGAGGAGTGATGAGAGGGTTTTAGAAGGATACCATTTTGATCACCTTTGACCTCAATTGAGCCGTTATTGTCCATTGTATTATCGTGGGAATCCCGGTGTGCCTTAAGCGTAATTTTGTCTTTTTCACCCAAAAGTCCATGTGTCGCCTTCATATTTTTCTTGATTATCTTTGGCTCCACAACTATTACCCTCTTCTCCCGTCTTTTTCACTAGAGGTTGACAGGCGTATGAAGTAGAAAACGTGTGCCTTTGATTCAATAAAGTAGAAGATCCAATTGGTATTTCCCGCGGTCAGAATGACTCCTTGTGGTCTCTTAGATCCTAGTACGGTCTCTTTGGCCTCAATTGAGTCAGCTTACCTGCTCTATAGAGGTTCTGAAAGAAACGAAGATCGGGCTCCCCCGGCAGTCATAACGATTGGCAGTTCTACTCAGTGATTCGAATCGAAGGACTCCAATTGCCATTTATCCTCCTATTAATAACGGGGAAAGGTTCTGCAAGAAAAGCTAAGGGATCATTTACCCCTTAAATTTTCAAAAGGCTAGATTGCCAAAATGGTCCCTGAGATTTGCATAACACATCACTTTGGTCCTTGAGATTTTAAATCAATAGAAGTGGTCCCTGAGATTGTCCACCATCCATCATTTTGGTCCTTTGTTTAAAAACTCCGTTAAGTGTCCCAGAGCTCTTGGCCGGAAGTTTGGACAATTTTCAAAGCTTCGTAACTCAATCGTGTCTTAACCAAATTTGACCCATAATATATCAAATTGAAGATAGGAAAGTGTAGAATAAGATTATATCATTTGGAAGCCAATGGTTGCCTGATATGGCCAGAAAATAGCCTCAAAGTTGACTGGTCCGAGGGAAAACTGGAAAACTTGTCGGAAATTAGGTAAAATTTAAACGTTCATAACTTCTTCAATACTCAACAAAATCAAGTGATTCAAAAACAAAAATCATACTTCTCGACGAGACGAAGTGAATGGTACCTTGCTAACTTGCCATGGTTTGGCCGGAAAATGGCTTGAAAGTGGCTAACTCGAGACCAAGATAGCCACTTTCGAGCCATTTTCCGACCAAACCACAGAGCTTTAGCCTTCTAAAAATTTACCATTCTCTTCATCTCATCAAGAAGTATGATTTTTGTTTTTGAATCACTTGATTTCGTTGAGTATTGAAGAAGTTATGAACGTTTAAAGTTTACCCAATTTCCGACGAGCTTTCCAGTTTTCCCTCGGACCAGTCAACTTTGAGGCTATTTTTGGGCCATCTCCGGAAACCATTGGGCTTCCAAGGTATAATCTTATTCTACACTTTTCTATCTTCATTTTGATATATTATGGGTCAAATTTGGTTAAGAAACGATTGAGTTATGAAGCTTTGAAAATTGCCCAAACTTCCGGCCCAGAGTTCCGAGACACTTAACGGAGTTTTTAACGAAAGGACCAAAATAATGGATGGTGGACAATCTCAGGAACCACTTCTATTGATTTAAATCTCAGGAACCAAAGTGATATGTTATGCAAATCTCATAGACCATTTTGGCGATTTAGCCTTTTCAAAATAAAATAAGAGTAATACTAGGGAGACCAAATTTGTAAACATGAAAGTTGATGATTTAATTATTACTTAAGCGTTGATTAACGTGTTTATTTCTTATTGGTGACACATCATTTAGTTCACAAATTTAGTCTACAAATTTAGCCTCCCTAGCATTATCCATAAACTAATTTTAGTAATGTGTTGATATTACTATAACAAGATGGTCTTTAAGTTGTTGATGTCATATTACACTATAAAGGTACGATATTATTCTTAACCGTGATTGCACTACACTAACGACATTCAAATTAAATGGTGCCATACCCTTTTCTTCTTAAAGGATACTGTAAACTAACGCTTCTTAATCGCAACTATTCAATTTCTTAATCTTCATAATAAACCTGTAAACACAAAATTTTCTACAAAGAATGAAACAAGAACACGTACAAAGTAATACATTTCGTTTAAATGAATTTTTAGGGTTATAATCTCTAAACTTGATTCTCTAATTCCCTCTCTGAAGATGTGTGTGTGTGGTTGACCCAAGGGTCGTAGAGACTTGATCTTGAATCGGACTTGATTTCTTCAAAGATCGTATTGGCTTGACCTTAAACGAAGTCGGACCATGAGTAGTTTCACATGGTGGGTAGTATTCAACTTTGGTGTGGATGAATTGGCACGTGCATTTTTTGTGCTTGTTGATTCTCCATGAGCTTGATGAAGAACACGAGTGTTTGGTGTATGAGCATCGGTCCCCTTCTTTGTCTTGGAGCTTTGGATTTATAGGCCTCTCCATGTCTTGATTGAGTCTTGATTTTGGACTTGGTTAATTGACAAAAAAACCAAGACTTGATTTGGATTTGATTTAATCAAGTAATCTTTGACTTAATCAAATAAATCAACCACTTTTTATTCTTAATTTGGTTAATCTCCCTGATTTGGCATTCATTTCATTTGTTGATTATTTCCTTTAACTTAAATCAATTAATTTGTTTGTTTTAAATCAAGGTTAATTAAAGATAATTATTTAATTGTTTTTTGCCAAATGTCGACGCGTGTCACTCTTAATGACTCATCTGTTTGATGAGTCACATGTCATGTGTGCAAGTTGTGATCAAACCCACGGTGCATGCCACGTAAGCCCTGGCATGTCGAAGTTTAATTTGTTAATGAACATTTAATTCACTAAAATTTTAATGTCAATAAATGCCCCCACTTCAAGCTGCAGCGTAGACATGTGCTTGTCATGTGTAGGAGATGACTTAAAGTTACTCTTGTACTTGCTGCAAACGATGTTGGTGAAAGCAAGCTAAAGCAATGAACTCGAACTTGGCCTTCATGATGCTTTCAACCTAGTGGTGTCAACTGGCATACAACATAGTGGCGGTCAACTAGAGTTGATGCACATCAAACTTCATAAGTTACAACATGTTTGTTTTTGTTGGGACTGAACTTGAATTTGGATATCAAGTCATAACGTAGTTCAAGTGGTGTCATGTTGTTGCTTTCAACCTAGTGGTGTCAACTTGACACCATCGATGCAGTTGTTGCACTTGACAACTACCTCGAGGTGGAGGAGCGTGGGCTTAATGCGGGATTGGGCGAGGTCGAGCTTGCAGGCCTTGGCATTGGTCGGCGAGGTCGTAGGTGGAAGTAACTTCGAAGAGGACATGGTCAGAGTCGGCCTTGACAGAACTTGGGGAAAGAGGTCAATGCCTCGTTTTCCGTGAAAAATGTCTTTAAAATGTAGGCATAAAAAATTATTGGTTGTGTCCACATGGAACAAATTTGACAACCACATCAACAAAAAAGTGGGATCCGCAGTTACCACATCATTTAACAGTCAAATTGACCGATTAACTAACAGATGTATGGTATTGAAACTAAAATATAAGTTTGTTTGTGATATTGTAATGTTTTAAACATGAAGTATGAAGTTGCAATTGCACTCGAACATGAGAGTACATAATGTGATTTGCTTTAATATATATTATACACCTGCGCTCGCTGGTTAATTGGTTAGGATTTCCATTCCATTAATATAAATTGCTTCAAGTCATTGACCCTTGAAGAAGGGGCTAGCAAATCGGCTTATGCCATATGGGAGTCATCAATTGGAACGTACATTCGTGATATCCAAACAATAAAACATTTGACCAATAAAAGAAAGATCCAAACAAAGACTTGTCCAGCACTCAAAATTTCCCACTATATAAAACCCATTGAGCTCTTCCATTTCCTCATACTTCCGATCACAAAAACTTCACTATATTAAATTGAGAAAAAAAAATGAGCCAAACAGCAGGTAGGCTAATGAAGCCTGGTTTAGCGTTTGTGTTTGGGACCATGTGTGGAGCCTTCATCACCAGAGCTAGTCTGCACCGTTGCCCCCACCTCTTTCACGATCACGAAGGTGATCGGAAGCATTGGCCCTTTCCTCGCCAAGATCAGAATAAAAAGATTGGTTCAAGCCCAGGAGGGCTGGAAACTACAACCACTAGAACCATGGAAAACTAGCCCCATGCATGTGAGAACAACTTAGATGACACAGTTACACTATTACGATAGTTCCGTTCCAATGAAATAAAGACATGGATAAACTTTTGTCTACATATCTTTATTTCATTGACACAAAATACTTATAGCTGTGTCATCTAAGTTGTTTTCCATGCATGCATCGTGCATGGTCCAAGTTCAAAAATCAGCCCAGCTAGCTAGCGTTGCTTCTAATTTTATATGCTTCTGTTTGTTGTATTACATGAGTAGTATGTATTTGGGTTTTTATCAGAAATCAGCCCAGCTAGGTGGTTTGATTTGTTGGCCGACTGTTTCGGTTCTTTTTTGTCATTTCTTATTGCTTAGTGTGTAAATTGGTTTGTTAATGAGGAAATGACGTCATCATGGTTTGTAATTTTCAAATGATGATTTTCTTTTTTTTTTTTTTTTTTACTTTTTTTATAATTTTTCTAGCAAATACCGTGAGAGTTTTGGTTATCCTAAATCACATTTAGCACTCTAAACACAACTTATTGTGTCTGCTGAAGTTAGAATTAAGGTCTTTTAAAGAATTGACTGGTATCAGCACTTGCATATGTGCCTACGAGCAAATTAAGAGCATTTATCCCTACATTTGACGCCAACTTGACAAGATTTGGGTCACTAAAGATGCCTCCTCCCATCATTTAAAGTGAAAACCAATATATTCGAGATAATGCTAAGAAAACTAAATTTATAGACAAAATTTGCAAACTAAATGATATGTCGTCATTGTCCAACTTTAATATATAAAGGAGATTTGCCCAAAAACAGTGCCAAATTAATCAAGACTAAATTTTTACATTACAGTTTAAGAGTGCCTAAAACGTTTCTGAAAACTGCGGAGCACCACAGGATTATGCCAGCATCCAACTAATTAATCGACGGTTCAGCTTCTCTATGTTTTGTTGATGAAGTAGCCAACCAAGATGCCCAGAAGACCGAACAGCACAACAAACAACAACGAAAATCCGCCACTGCTGGTTTTGCTAATTTCTTTTCTCAACACATCCTGCTCAAATTCAAATTTTTCTCTTATTGCCAAAAGGAAATAAACGAAAACAAACATGAAAATAAACTCCGATAAAGGGGAACTGAAGCATCAAACACCCAACAATATAAATAGAAACAACAAAACAATTCATAAAAAGGACAGTTTATTTTTCGAGGATTTTTGCTACAAAGATTGACAGCTGATTAAGTTAAATGGGGATACATACGAGTAGAACCGTTAGCACAGGGACAATCAAAAGCATGAGGCTTAGATGTACGTAAGAAACTAAGAATTAAACAATACCAGTTCGTGGCGTAGCTTCTGAGTTTGTTGAAAAGCGGCAGTCTTCTCTTCAGTTAACTTGGAAATCATGGACCATGCCTGAGGAAAAGATATACAAAGAAACTTAAGCAAGGTAATCTGAAGGGATTATTCGTAATTCTGTACCCGATGGTCAATGTAGGGTGGACCAGCCGGTAATTCAATTTGCACACAAGTTTGCTCCACACGCCCATTCAATTCATAATATCATTTTACCCCTTAAATTCTTAAAAATAAAATAATTTTAGTTCACTTTTCTGTCCCTGTCCTCAGAACTTCTCGACAGGGTCTTCTAATAGCTAGAAAAAGAAGTATGCAAAAATAAGAAAATTAACAGGACTAAGTAACTCTTAATCTGCTCTGGATTTGTTAGTCAAAAACAAATAGAAGCTCCATAGAAGAATCGTGCAAGCAGAAAATGAACTAGAATAGTAGTGAGGCGTAGACAAAAACCTTATGTAGTAATTAACACGTAATAATAAACCACATGCACCGTCCTTTTTTATGAGAAACGCAGATTTTATTATCAAGTATAAATTGAAAGTACAAGAAGTAGTGCACATGCTGTCCACTGGATCGAATACAAGATCCATAACGAAGGAAGAAAACAATGTCCTATAAACCCGAGTAATTATTACAAAACAGCTATGCTAATAAAACCAAGTTTAAGAGATTGCTGCCCACCAATCCGCATGAATGAGGAAGAAGTGATATATCCTGAAATTCCAGGGAAACTGAAATCCCAAAAGAAGCCCAAAATTGAACTCTATCCCACAATCCTTCCACTTCCTCCCTCCTAACGTTTTCGAAAATGCTTTTGTTTCATGCGCTGTCATTAAAGTGAAGTTTATGACAGTGGTTCCAATTAAATAAAAGTGAACTTTACACTAAAAAAAAACCTAAGCAAGCCTCCATCACAAGAAAGTCAAGAAAGTACTTCAGACTACCTATTAGTTTCTAAATATTGTTGAATGTTGCCGCCGTCACCACCAAAGCCATACAAAATGAACCAAAACTTGGAAATCACAATCTTTAATGACTTTTACTAACCTCCATGTATACTGTCATTCAATATATTCATGAATTTGGTATGTCAGGCATGTTTCGAAACAAACTTAACCACTATGATGCGACTCGCACTATTGGTGAATATATTTTAGCAATGACATTCTATGATACATTCTTTCAACTGTCTACAGTTGCGCAATAAGTTTACTGTAGAGAAAATGAAAACATTAAAGAACCTAAAGTAACCCCTTTCACCAAATTCAAGATTTTAGCACCCCATTCAGGTAGATTAAATTAAATGCGAGAGAATGAAACATAATGTGTCAATTCCCGAGATAAATTTCCTACGTAACTCAAAAGCAACTATATTTGTGAAATCTAATAGTAAGGACATCTGACCTCTGACGACTTCTCTTTTGGTTCCTCAAGGGACCTTGATACCTAATTTTCCAAGTAAAATGATAATGAGTATTCCACACATTCAATGAGTTTTCAAACTTCCCTGAAAGCTTGCAAAAGAGAAACCCTTACAGCATCAAACAAGGAAGAGTTTTGATTTCCATTATCAACGACTGAAGCCTTTGGAGAAGAGCCCTCGTCGGATCCTTCAGGGACAGGTGATGGGGGATTGGCAGGAAAGTAGATTACCCGCAATTTGAACTCTTCCACAACTTTACCATCCTCCTTATTGAACTATAGACAAATTCACAAAAAGATTAAAGTGAATAAAACAAAACCCAAAACAGAACCTCTTCGTGGGAAACATAATACGTGTTAGGAGCATCATCCAACCATTTCAGGAGTCATGTCTTTCATAGTTGCACCTTCTGGTGCAACAACACTTTGAAGGAGAAATTTGTCCTTGCACTGCATGTCTGGCGGAGCCTCTTTTTGGGCTTGCATTGTAACTACAAAAGTCAAATTTAAATCAGGAACAATCGAGGAAATTTGAGAAATAATAATTGAGCATAACGTTAACAACGAAAACAATGAAAGCAAAGAAATGAATATAATCTAGAACAATTACTCAGAGTTTAACTTTGAACCATGAAATAAAAGATTAAGATATCAGATAAGCTAAAGAACCAAAAACTCTTCAAATCAATTGAATAATTCACCTGTAACATCGCATGTAGTTCCGGGCAAAACAACACCAGCATTGGGCCGGACACAGTATTTTTTCGGATTGGTTGTTTTAACCTATTCAATCACAATATCCAAACAGTAAGCATTACAAGTCCATACCTCATATGTTGAGACCAATTCGATATCCAAATTTAAGGGGAACCGAAAAATTACCTTGAAGGCCACATAATTAGCTGTTTTGTTGGTCAATTGCAAGGAACATGAACTGTGTTTCTTCACTTCAACTTTTACACCACAAGAAAACAAACCCACAAAAATAAAATTAACAAAATTGGACAATTTTCCCAATACAAAAATCACATTAACATCCCATTTGAATCAATCACTCCCTAAACATAACAATTAAGCATTACAAAGCTAAATCAAAGTCAGTTTCTAATTTTCTGGTAATCAAAATATTAAACCCGTAATCGTATGCACAATTAAACCCATCCTTATAATTATTTTGCATAATTTAAAGTGCACCGTTCCAATTCCAGTAAAACCCAACACGGCATTCTAAATTACTTGTCCCTCAATTTTCCTGCATTTTCTTGCTAACCAAACAGAAAATGTTCTTCTGAAAGAAAAGAAAAGAAAAAAGCTTACATGGGAATTTGAGCTCCAAGGGCTGAATGCTAAGAAGATCTCCGGTACTCATTGCTGCGAATCCAATCAAATGCTAGTTTTTTTTCTTGATATTTCAAACGAAAAATTGAATTAAAAAATTAGGATTTGTGAAATTATATGATCCGAGCGAGGAGGAGAAAAGAGAGATGGGAAGAAGAAATAGCAGAAGAAACAGTTTCCGTGATTCAAAAAATATGGAGAGTGATATCGTCACAGGTGGGTCGATTAGCTGTGATAAGTTTCACCGTCGATCTGAATGAGTCAATCTGAATCCAACGGTGGATAGGGTAGCTGTGATGTTCAACTGGTGAATTCTTGTTATATTAGGAATTAGAATATACTTATTTTCATTATTTCCAGGCCTGATTTAGAGATTTCTAAAATCATCTCCAACCGAAAGGTCTAAAGGGCTAGAGAGCCAAAAATAGCCCGAAAATCGTCTCCAACCGAGGGTTAGGCCAAAGGACTCATGGCCCCACAAGACAAAAAAGGACCATAGGGCAACCGGCTGGCCCAACCCAATTAGCTAGCTAGCCCCGGCCCGAGCCACAAATTTGAATGCAACGGCTAATTGACGTCAGCTAGCCGTCTCTATATTTTAAATTTAATTCTATTTTTTTCCTATAACTTCCTAAGCTATTAAATAACATTAAATAACATGAAACAACATTAAATAACATTAAACAACATAAAAATTATACAACATTAAAAAAACATTTAACAACATGAAACTTAAACAACATTTTTAAAAACATTTAACAACATAAAACTTAAACGCCTACTCCATGCTTCTTTTGTCCCAAATATGTGCAACAAGATCCTATTGTAGGTACTTGTTTGTGGCACGGGAACGTATCATATAGCGCCTCATCTACTCATTTAAATAGATACTATCAGTTCTTGGATTCAAAGGAAAATTAGGCCCATCATATATTTTTACACGAGCCCTTCTTGACCTATTTGGATCTTTTTGGTCGTCATTAGACTCTCCATCAATATACCCATCTTGCTCATCCTCCACAATCATGTTGTGTAATATGATGCAAGACATCATGACGGAGTCTAAATTTTCTCAACTCGACCCTCTTGCCGTTTCCTTGATGATCTTCCACTATGCTTGTAAAATACCGAAAGCTCTCTCAACGTCTTTCCGATATGCCTCTTATTGTAAGGTAAACCACTTTTCGGCGTCATTCGCAGGGTTTGGAATTGCTTGAACAAGTGTTGCCCACTTTGGGTAGATGTCATCTACCAAGTAATAGCCCTTATTGTACTGATACTCGTTGATGTAGTAATCAAGTTGAGGTGATTTTACATTCCGTCAGGTTATTGAAGAGGGGTGAATGCCCAAGAACTGTCATGTCATTTTGGGATCCAAGGACTCAAAAGAAAGCATGCCAGATCCATATGTCATATGAGGCAACCACCTCTAACACAACAGTTGGCTTTTTTGACCTTCCGCTAAAGCCTCATTGCCATCCGATTAGATAGTTCTTCCAATTCCAATGCATGCAGTCTAATGACCCTATCATGCCCAAAAACTCACGGTCTTCAGCTTTGCGAATGAGCCGATCCAGATCTTCTTGATTTGGTTCGCAAAGGTATTCCTCTTTATAAATCTAAACAATTATGTCACAAAATTCAGCAAGAGTATCAAGGGATGTAAACTCAGACATACCATATGTTTCATCCATCAAATCAGTTAGGGAGCTATACGTCATCATTCGTAGTGCAACAATAACCTTTTTGATAAAGTGAGAAACTAGGGCGGCCTGCTTTGTCCAACTTTTGTCGAAAGTATGAATTGACCTGCTGGACATCATGAAGTAAATACTCAAAGACATGACGCCTTATCCGGAAGCAACGTCTGAAAATCCTCTTCTGTGTACACCGAGTTGGGGCTAAAGTAGTTATTCATCAAATTGGCAAGCATCATCGCTCTGTTTCGGGTTTGTAAGAGCGACCAGCAATAGAGCCACCCCATTGAGGTTGTTCCTCAATTGGCTGACACACCATAGCTGCCCCATATTGTGTGTTGCACCATACTTCATCTTCTTTACCAGACTCCATATCTTCTCGTCTCATCTGCGCTCATTTTTCTTCCAATTCGGAATTGGATGAAGACCCCCAGTTGGAATCCGAAGAGGATCCAATGTTGGAATTCATTGGAAACTTGAATTGAAAGAGATTGAATTCAAAGGTTTGTGAATTATAGCCAAATATCCACCCTATTTATAGCCCCAAAAAATCCAAATCCAACGGCTAGCTGACGTCGTGCTGACATCAGTTATCACTGGATTTGAATTTTTTTTTCGGCCAAAATTTTTTTAAAAAATATTGAAAAATTCTCATTTTTTCCTATAAATTTAAGTTGTTGTAGTTTTTAAATTTAATTTGTAGTTTTTAAATTTAAGTTGTTGTAGTTTTTAAATTTAAATAATAAATTATGTTTGGCTCCATGACCCTTTGGCCCTCGGTTGGAAATAATAAGAAATATGGTCATGCAATGTTCATTAAATATTAATTTCTTAGAGGCCCAGAGGGCTAAAACAAGTCATCTGGCCCTCATTCGATTGGAGATGGCCTAAGACCATTTCCAATGGAACCGATCATAGGGTCATAGGCCCAAAGATAGCCTTTTTGACACAAAACCCATCTCCAGTAGAGGTTTAGGCCAAAAAATCTTGGAACCCACCAGGCCAAATCTAGCCATGGCAAGCGGGTTGGCTATCTTTAGCCATCCAGCTAGCCATTTCAGTTGGGCCGAGCTAGATTTTTTTTAAGACAAAATAAAAAAAAATAATTCTAATTTTTTTTCTATAAATACCTAACACATTTCTACGCCATCTGTCACATTTTTTCACCCTTCCATATTATATTACCCTCATTTTATTTCAATTCTTCACATTCTATTCACCTCAAAAATTCTTTTCATACACACCCCTCTCTTACCTCTTCTAATAATCTTTCCCTTAATTTTTTCAATAATTTTCAAATAGCCACATCTTCAAGTGGCACTCAAAATATATCTGAAAGCTTATTCATTTAACGACAAGTGGCCCTCAAAATATGTTTGAAAACCTTATTTTAATATGACAGTTTAATTCAATTAACCAATAAAATTAAAACAAACTTAAAATAATAAATTATTGAGGGGGCTAAAAAATAGCCAACTTCAGTTGGAGATGGTATATAAATATGGTCTAGCATTATTCATTAAAAATAATTTCTTACAGGGCTATAATTTGGACGGGGGCTAACATAGCTCATTCGATTGGACTGGGCTGGCCATAGAGCCATAGGCAAAAAGATACCCCTTTTTGACACAAAATTCATATCCAATGGAGGTCTAGGCCAAAAAAACCTTGGGACTCACCAGGCCAAAATCCAGCCAGATGACTAGTGGTCTAGGCATCTTTAGCCAGCTAGCCAGCCCGTTTGAGGGGCCCAATCTGTCAACATCAATGGTCACATGACGTCATGTAACCGTTGGATTTTGAAATTTTTTTTAAAGATGAAATTTAAAATAAAATAAAATTCTATAAATTTCTATAAATTTAAAATAAAATTCTGCACCATTTCTCACATCAGTTTCACCCTTTCATGCTATCTTATCTCATTTTATTTCAATTCTTCACATTCTATTCACCTCAAACACTTTTTCATACACACCCCTCTTATTTAAGTTATGTGACAGCCCGTCCTGAAATTTACCTTCGATGGCGTGGAATGACGATTTTGCCCTTGGACGTTAGTTAGTGTTCTGGGCGATTTGTTTTGTTTTGTTTTGTTTTGGGTTGGCTGCCATCAGGACACATACACACACCTAAACCAACACATGGACCCTTCCTCTTTCTTCTTCCTCTTGGATTTTTCTATAAATTTCATACAAGTTGTACGGACAACCTTTGATTCAGCCATTTTTTGCACAGATCGAGACCTTGAAGGTGGATTTCATGTTCCTTGCAAGCTCTTGAGTACATCCATACCATTTTTAGAACTTGAAACCCTTAAAAACCCGAGATCCCAGTTCGAGGTACTGTTCATACATACGTAAATACGAAGGCTTCAAAGGATTCTAAGGTTATAGTGAGCTTTAAGACACTCTCACGAAGCTCAGAGAAGCATTTTGGAAGAAATTGGACGTCAAGAAACTCGAGAAAAGTGAGTTGTAGAGGTGACCGGAATATCGCAATTTTTTTGGCGATATTCCTTCGTTTTTTGGGCTTTAAACAGGTAAGGGAATGTTCTACTCATTGTGAGCTTCAATTTGGTACTAATTTCATGAAATTTGGATGAAAAACAACTAAGATATAAAGGTTTAAAATTTTTCCTAGTTTCCAGCAACAGTGACGGAGTCAGGCGACTAGCTAGAGAAGAAATGGGAATATTCCGTTAATCTTAACAGAATATTCATAACGACAGTTAATGGCTTCAGGTTAGTTTTAAGGGAATATGCTTGCTTTTGGATGGAATATTCCTAACGGCGTTAACCACCGCCGTCAGTGTGGTAGGCACGTGCCTACAAATGGGCGGTGCATGTGGCTGTGCCTTGGCCCGCGCGTGGGTGGTCAGAAAATTATTTTAAAAATATGGGGATGTTCGTGAGGTGAGTAGATCACGTTGGTATATTCAAGCACCCCATTTGAGCAATGTAGGAGAAGTTATTACCTAGTTTTCGGTTATGTCCGTTAAATTGACGTTTATATAATTGTTTCGCATATAGGTAAGACCTATCCTGAGGACGAGCACAGTCACTCGAGGCTAGGGGGCTACGACCCTTCCATATACCAGTGAGTAGGTCTTTTCCTTTTTTCGTATATAAATGGTTGATAATTCCACAACCGTTTACAAAATTGAATTTCATATAATTTATGTTAATGCGTTGGAGGACTAGTGTGAACTACGAATGGCTTGATCCCTGTTTAGGGTACGTAGGCAGTCTAACGAGACGTTAGATGCAACCATACAATAAACGAGACTAAATAATTGAGACAATAGCCTTGCTTCTAGAATTGAGCAGTGTGAGGGAGATTGGTGAAAAATGTGAGATTTAACCTTAGGTTTTGGTATAACTAATGTTGGTCATAAATTAAGATGTGAAGAATCAAGAAATTGAGGTAAGGAAAGGTAATTAGTGATAGTTAATTTAATTAGT